TTATTAATCAGCTTGTGAATATGCAATGACTACAGAAAAGATTGCTCTGTAGAGGCCAACAGAGTTTTTCTAGATAGTCAATAAACTAATATCACCTTTTGAGTTAAGAGTGAGCTAAGTAGATCATGGGACTATCTTAATAGAGGGAATCTTGATTTTAGTTAAGATATTTGGCACAGTCTCACATCACTTGCCAATGAGGTTCTAATGTTTGTAAATTCACTTATTCTCAGCAAAGACTGTTATGTGTGTGTTTGATGCTGACTGTAAATAGGTGAATAGGTCAATTAAACTGTCATGGCCGGTCTTACAGTCTAGTGATGGAGACACATAATAAAGCATTAAAATAAAAAGATTACTTTGGCTGCTGGGTGGAAGATATGTGAGGAGGCAAGACAAGGGAGATAAGTAAAGATGATCACAGCTATCCAGAAATTAAAGACAATGGCTCACACTAGAGTGGGGTCAGTGGAGATGGGGAAAATGACTGTGGATTTGGGATAAATTTTGGGGGTAGAAATGATAGGGCACTTGCAAATGAACTAGATATAAAGGGTGAAGGAATAAGTGAGAGATTAGGATGACTTCCAGGCTTCAAGCAGTTGGCTGAACAATGGGCCATTTCCAGATGGTCTTATTCTATTCAAAGTTGATGCCAGTGACTTGGATGAAGGTACACTCAAGATATGAAGTTGGACGCAGTGGTTGAAATATAAGTAAAAAGGATCAACAATTTAAGAAGAGATCACGAGACTTGAAAGATAAAATGTAATGGAAATAAATAGAGGTCTTGCGCTTAGCTTCAAAAACAAACAAAAAAAGTACACAAGATAGAATCATGAAGACAGCCTAGTAACACTCATACCAGAAGCTCAGAAAATGAAAAGTATGTGGGGGTTGCTGTAAAAATGAATTCCAAAATAGATTTCCTTGAAAGAAGAAAGATGTCCGACTCAGAGAAATTAAAAATCCTGTCATGCTTTGCGCTATTTGGATCAAATTTGATGTTATAGCATTGGGCTCATCTCAGTACACAGCCTTTAAAAAGGATGGTTGAGGAACTGGACCATGACTGAGATGTAAACAGCCCAAACACTTCACCACAAGATGAACAGTTCAAAGAACTAAAGGTTTTTGAGTTAAAAAGCACAATCTTAAAATGAGCACCCGCAGTACTGTTAGGTAGGAGAGGTGTTAGATTTCAGGTAGATTCTAATAGGTCCTGAAGGTAAAATGAGGACCCAAGGATAGAAGTAGCAATAGTGATTTCAGCTCAGCCACAGTTACAAAGCACAGAACTTTACAGAAATGAATGGGTTGCATAATGTGTCCCCTTTTAAAAGACACTTTACAGACCTTGATGCCAGTGTGTTGGCATGGAGCATAGACGTTTCCTGTCCTGGGTGAAAACCCTGTGCTGAACTAGATCCTCTCTAAAAGTCTCTCCCTGCTTAAGGAGTCTAGAATTCTAAGTTTCTTCTCAGGAGACTCAAAAATCTACAGGATGTCCTGCACCACATCTTTCAAAATGTTGCTGACACAAAGACTCTTGAAGGTTCCTGACCACATTCTTCATCATTCTAACTCTCCTGCCACACCTTCACCATGACCCATGTACAGTTACATGCTCTAGATCTCCTCAAAGTTGAACATAAGTCTGAACTATCAACATCTCTACAGCCCTATCACCAATTGCTGAGCTGTAGTCCTTAGGTAAGTATGCCTTTTTCAGCAACCAATTTTTGCCCCACCCATATTAATACTTGTGGTTGATGGTTAACAACATTGAAGCTTAAATTATATCCAGATGAAATTTTAAAAAGGAATCACTTGTGTTCCATGGTGTTAGCACAAGAATCCCAGCATGTGTTTCTCTTCCAGGAAACCATAATTATATGTACAAATACTACCTGGACTTTAAGGGGCATACTCATGCCCTAAACAGAAGTGTCCAGTACATTCTCTCCAGTTATTCCTCTTTCCTCTTTCTCTTAGATGTCATGGTCTCCGTGTCTCAAGACATCTATGATTTGATTTTTCTAACCCATTAGAGTCATTTAGACAACATATTGCTTCTTTGTAAGAATCTGAACAAAGACGTGTACTTTTATAAATTTTAATCCTATTAATGCCAGATTCTGGTATAGTCTAAAGTATTCTTAGAATACTTTACTTTTACAGTTTGCCTCTTAGTGATCTGATAGAAAAGGAGGTTTTACTTTATGTTAGTTTTTAGTCTTGGAAGAGAAGGTCTACATTTCAGAAGGGACTAAGAAAAGAGTCTTTGCCAATCATAGAGTTAAAGACAAAAGCCATCAGACTCTTAGTACTCTTAGTACTCTGGGGTACAATGTTATGTCTCTTAAACATGGGAGAAGAGGTTATTTTCATCACTGTGGGAGCACCTCATTCTGTTATGTTTAAGTAGGGGGAAGAAGATAAGTGAACATTACTAAAATCTTCCCTAATCAACACTTTTCTCCTACTTGAAAAAAGAGGGATAGCAGTTTCTGATGCTCAAAGGGCCAGATGGCAGCTGAGCATCATCTGCAAAGAGATTCAACACATAGAATGTGTTAAGACACAACCATTTGCAAGAACCACATGGTTCAAGGGGCTACTGACTGAGGGAACACAGCAAATGTTTCCTTGGAATGTTTCTTTTGCTAATAAATACCGAGTTCTCCAGGGTTAAGGCCTTTTGTAAATCATTATGTAGATATTCATAATTATGCACTCCTCCTAGGCACATAGTTTGTACAAGTTCGTACTCTTTATACATTAGCCTTGGGACCATGGGAAAATCCTTTTGGTCACTTTTGGTCCCAGCAGAGTAGACCCAACAGGGCACATGGTCACTCCAGATTAGCACCTGACTCATCCTAAGATACCACCCATTTTATCCCCACTAGAAATCCTGTGCTCTTCTGTGCCACATGGAAATCCTCTAGGACCTGTCACATGTATGTGTAGAAATGGCTACTTAGTGTATGTCCCTCAAAACATGAGTGAACTCTGCAAGAAACTCAAAGCTTGCTTCTTCTATGTAAAATAATGCTTATCTTATCTGATGGAAACAAAATCATGCCACAATTAGGTTCTGTATTTTATTCTGTGGCAGAGCATATCAAATCATGTTCCATTACATATCTCAGAACTACTGGGTTGGCTAATAAATGCTTGCTCTTCATTTCTCACATCCTTCAACCTGAAGAGATAATAATTAGTCCATTTTTACGCTGATGATAAAGTCATACTTGGGACTGGGTAATTTATAAAGAAAAAGAGGCTTAAAGAACTCACAGTTCCATGTGGCTGTGGAGGCCTCACAATCATGGCAGAAGGTAAAAGGCACGTCTTATTTGCCTGCGGACAAGAGAGAATTGAGAGATAAGTGAAAGGGGTTTCCCCTTATTAAAAAAAAACCATCAGATCTTGTTAGACTTATTCACTACCACAGGAACAGTATAGGGGAAACCACACCCATGATTCAATTATCTCCCACCAGATCCCTCTCATAACACATGGGAATTATGGGAACTACAATTCAAGATGAGATTTGGGTGGGTACACAGCCAAACCATATCAGTCAGCCTCCTCACTCAAGGATTTTGGAGAAATAAGTATAGATCTGAATGCACTTTCTTACCAATCATATCTTAACCTAAATTCCCCTTTATTGGCAGATCAGTTGGGCCTCTAACCAAAGTGTTAGGTCTTCTGTTCTTTCTCCTAGTGTTTGTTTTGCCTTTGCTGAGCTCTGCCCCTATTTTGTTTGCTGGCCAGTTTCTGGCAGTCCATCTGTTCTGCTGTTGACCGTTCTGTACTCCTGGTTTATCTCCTCATGGCTGCCCCATATGTGCGAAAAGCAAAATGCTGTAGGATCAGAGACAGCTGAGAAGCAGTCATTCTGCCTGGGGCCAGGGAAGGCAAGTGAGGAGGTGGCATCTGAGCTGGGGCCTTGAGCAGCCTTCAACAGGTGTGCTGGGAGGGGGAAGGGCCAGGAGGAGGCAGCCCACGCAGAGCGAACTGCATGATGTGCCAAGTGCCTCTCAACAGCACTTGGTGGAAAAATAATTGCCTTTAATGATTCAAACATAGAGTCAATTGCAGTAATGTATTGTTCTGGGGATATATTTTCCCACATCAGGAAGTGAACGGTTTCAATCGGGGACTGGATTTTTTTTTCTTCTTTTTAATAAATAGGCTTTATTTTTAGTTATCATGTCTGTTTTAATCAAATGTTTCAGAAATCATCTATATAATCTCCCACACTATTTTAACTGCACTTTTCCTTGAGAAGGGTTTGATAATGAGCCAGATGTACTAAAACAAAAACATGAGTTCATCATTCAAAAAAGTCTTTTCATTATACTTGATTGTCAAATTTTCCCACTAGTTAGCAAAGGGTGCTTATTCATCTAAGAGGAACCAGGTGCAAAAAAAAGTGAGTTACATTAGTGGCCTAATATATATATTTTAAGATAGCCATGAAGTAATAGATGAAAAGAGCCCAGACATCATTTGGCTTGTATCTTTATATTATGGGCAATGAATCCAGAGATGGGAAATGTTAAGCAAGTTGCCCAAAGTCAGGTGGTCATTCTCCTAAGGTCACTGCCAGCCTTCCCCTTTGCCCCTCCCATCCCTTTCTCACACACTCTCATCCAGATGTAACAGAGCTTACATCATTTACTACAAAAGCTTTCTTTCATAATGTTGTTTTAAAGTCATCTCAACTGAAATGTTCCCAGAGAGCTATTTGGCTTTGAATTACGTAAAGGATTTGAACTGTTACTCAGATTCTAATGAGCACTTCTTTATTTGGTAGGACATTTTTATTGCAGATTTTAAAACAGGGATGACTAATAGGTTCCAAAATTTGGATACTATTAACAAATAATGTTAACTATACAAATAAACCTTTGCCCTTCTAAAATGTAAAGTCAGAATATATTCTTTTCTAGTTATTACAACAAGATTAATTTTCTTTGCTTTAGGGTACTTTTGACTTCAGTGACATTGCTGTCTATATATTCAATAAACCTCCTACTGATCTGTTCAAAAGAAACAGGTAAGCTGAGAATATGTTTGATTTTGTTAAAACCAGGGTGAATTATTTTTATGATGACACTGTGAACAAATGACGCTCTCTCTGTACAACAATTTGACTATTAAAAAGAAAGACTGGGGCTGGGTGCAGTGGTTCACTCCTGTAATCCCAGAACTTTGGGAGGCTGAGGCAGGTGGATAATGAGGTTGGGAGATCAAGACCATCCTGGTCAACATGGTGAAACCCCTTCTCTACTAAAAATACAAAAAATTAGCTGGGCATGGTGGTGCCTGCCTGTAGTCCTAGGTACTGAGGAGGCTGAGGCAGGAGAATCACTTGAACATGGGAGGTGGAGACTGCAGTGAACTGAGATCATGCCACTGCACTCCAGCCTGGGCAACAGAGCAATGCTCTGTCTCAAAAAAAGAAAGAAAGAAAGAAAGAAAGAAAGAAAGAAAGAAAGAAAGAAAGAAAGGAAGGAAGGAAGGAAGGAAGAAAGAAAAGAAAGAAAGACTACTTTGACCTAGAGTAATTGGAAGAACTTTGGAAGTATTTGTCTAGAGAAACAGTTGCAGCAATATATAAATTAAATTGGCATGGACAATGAGCAAATAATGTTGTCACTTAAAGCAAACCCTCCATTATACCTTTTTTCTAGTTTAAAATGGCTTCATTTTAAAAGCTTCAGTTTTTCCTTAGGTCTTTATATATCCAAAGCAAAGATCCCATGTTTTTGTATTATAGCTTCAAAGGTTTTGTAAGTAAACAGACTTTTCATTCTCTTGTGCCTATTCCAAGGAGAAAATGTTACTCCTGAGGCACTGTGGGAGTGAGCAAGCTATGAAGAGCCTTCAAGTACTCTGGGCAGTGTAATACCTGAAGTGTTTATTTTCTATTTCTGGGACACTGGATTATGTTTGTAATTCTTTGACTTTTACATTAGCTAAAACCACCTTGGCCAACTATTATTGTATATACATGACTCAATTTAACTGGAACATTTTGTAATAAATTGAGGAGCTGACCATTGTCTCGTTTAAACACCAGTCTTTTGAGAGATTAAACAAAGGTTTAATTATAGCCTGTCACATATTGCTGTCTGTGAACCTTTTGAAAACATGGACTGAACAGTCATAAAGAAATATAAATGCTTTTTAAAAAATGAATGGTTTAGAATTTTAGTATTTATTGAGATGAGCTAGTTGAACACTTTCAAATTTTGCTACAGATGAAATATGCTTTCGACAGATTAGTTGTCTGCTCTCTTTTGGGAGTTGCGTGTATTTGAACTACATTTTATGAATGATTACGTTTCATATGTCATGGCTATTAAAATGTTTCCAAGCTTGTTATTACATTTAGAACATGGATGCACTGATGGGATGTTATTAAGATAATTCCTTGTTAGCCTAATCATTTAAGGTAGTTAATTCAAAAGGAATCTTTTTGCCTCAACTTTTAGGATCTTTTTAAATCAAATATATATATATATATATATATATATATATATATATGGTATCTACCAGATCTGAGAAAAAGATCACAGAGGGAATTTCCCCTTTGTGAGATAGAGGTAGTTAAAAATAAGCCTTATGACCTAAGAGGTTAATTGTAACGCTTTGTTAGCCAACTTGAAAAAGGAGAAATGATGGTTGCGTCTGACATTTTAAAATATCAAGAGTTTGTTTTATAATGAGGATGCCTTAACCCCTGCAAAGCCAAGAAGACTATTTCTGTGAGTTTGAGAAAGGCACACAATAACTTGGGGAACAGTCAATAGAATGACAAAATCTTGACTATTTTTAACTTTCTGAACCCTGTCATTTTTTGTGTTCTCAAATTTGATTTTTAAATAGGCTGCATGGTATACGAAAAGCTGGGGGAACAAGTTTTTGGCACCACAGGGAAGTTCGTAATCTTTGGAGCCACCTCTCTTCAGAACACTGGAGGTAAAAAGGATATGCTTTTCTATACATAACTTGAAACTAATTCTGGTGGTTGGGTGGCCGCGTGAATTTTAACATAATTCAAACAGTTATCATCCTCATTGCTAAAACGGCACAGGGAAAGTAAAGCAGAGACAGCAGTCACTTATTTAAAGCCACAAATCCTGCTGGAGTAGCTAAAGTTCCCTTTGTGTCTTATTGATGGTTGGTCTAAGAACAGGCTGATAACTTTTAATATAGCTTGTAACATAAGTCTTCATATCTTCTTTCTAAAAATGTTCTCATTTTCTTCTAGCAATGCTGAGCTACCTCTTCATAGTAAAAAATGAACTACCCTCTGCCATAAAGTTTCTAATGGGAAAGGAAGAGGCATTTTCGTAAGTTATAGACCATTTTTTAATGGTATAACTAAAATGTTTTTAATTTAAATATGGGCTAGCCAAAATTCTTGCTTTATGAATACTGCAGAAAGTTTTTCCTAGGATGCTTTTTGTTTGTTTGTTGTTTCAACAGTAAACTTCTTTGGGGCTATATAAATGAAAGAAGCAACGAGAGCCATTTGAATACGAACATTTGAAAAGTAGATTTATCTGTTATGCTGTGAGCGGTTGACACTGCATTTTCCCAAGAGCCTGAAATCTATATCTAGTTTCTGTGAAATAGAACAGATATGGAGTATTTTTAACACAAAAGTGGAACATGCAAAAAAAATTAAGACCCTAGCCTTTTGCTTAAAGGAGGGACGTAGCATTTTGGGAGCAAAATTTACATGAGCCAACCTCATTAAAGATGTAGCTAACCCTGGAAAATGTTGCAGCTACATTTGGCACAACTGTGTTTTGACTCTGTCTTGTTTAACAGTTCTTGTCTGTCTTAGTTTCTCTGTTTTCTTTCAAGGGAGAATCGTAGAAGTCAGAGTTCCTAGTGTTCTCAGGATTCAAGGTCAAATCCAAGGGATCAGGGAGAGAGAAATGCCTACCTGTGGTGACTTGCTTCTCGCTGATACTAGCCCAGCAAAACAAAAAGGAGCTTTCTCTTTAAATAATTGATAAGACGAGTTGTAATCTGACAGAATGCAATGTATGCATTCAGCTTTGAAACCATGTAAATAATTCAAAGGAATGCCACATTTAGCCAATGGGAAAGGAAAAAAAAACAATATTCCTTCTTCCATTACGTGGGAGTGAAGCTGTAGTAAATAAGTAGTGGTTGGGTTGAAGTGTTTGGATAAGACCTGAATAATGATTTTAAAAATTAATGGATATAGTAAAAATTAACAAAAATTTTACATTGGAGGGGACAAAAGTCACTTTCTAAAAAAATATAACCTAACCACTTAAATGCCTTTCAGAGCCTGGTACGTGGATGGCCGAGTTCTGGTGGTAATAGTTACCTTTGGCATAATTCTCCCTCTGTGTCTCTTGAAGAACTTAGGTAAGGACACACTTTGTTTTTATAGTATTCTGCAGTGCTCAAGTGAATCAGAAACTGAATAAAAATGGACAGTGTTGCCCTCTGCTTCTCCTCTGCATGCACTTAAAGATTAGTGATGCACTTAATGATAAATTGTAAGTATTAATCAGGCCTAACTTTAATATGGGGTAAAAACAGTAGTCAGTAGGTGACCTCCTAAACAATCCCTCTACTGAGCTGTGGAGGAGAGAAGGAAGGTTCTGGGGCCAGGACAAACAGGGCTATTTTCAATAGTACAACTTATATGCTACTCTAAGAAAGGTCCAGAAAATGGAATTCTCCTTGTATGAAGTCTTAAATACCCTCATTATTTAGGTAAATACATTTTCAAATCTAATATGGAGACAGCTGCCTAGATTTAAAGCCCTAAGTATTATGAATCATGCATAAATTTAGTCTAACCAGTCTCAATTATTTCTCTCTGAAGCGGGAGAGAGAAATCAAAAGTCAGAAGTGGTGGATAATCTCCAAGTCATATCCATTTGGCTTTGATCTACTACTTGTTTTTATGCTTGTATTTGGAAACAAGAATGCCTGATGTTAGGGGAATTTTATACATTGAATAATGTGGCCAGACTGCCATCCAGTCAAAAACCTGTAAAGTGTATTTACTTGAATTCTGGGCTAATTCAAACAGAAGTTTGGATAAAAGCTCTTCAAACAATAATTATTAGCCACAGTTTTTTGTTTTGTTTCGGATATAATGTATCAGACCTCTGTATAAACCTCACAGAACAGCTCCAGAAGTCTGATACATTATATCCAAACTTATTTTCTGGTTTCTACATCTGTGTTTTCTGTACCTATAGAGGTAGCTCTTTTCAGTTAAGTAGAGAAAGGCTCTTCCCCAGGGATGAGAATAATGCAGTCCCAAAAGGCTACTTAACTCTACCTTTTTGGAGGTCACGGTGGCAGTTAGAGATCTCCCAGGCATTCTAGAAATTCGCTTCATCTACTCTCTCATCTGCGGAGAAAAGTATTATAATTGGCATTCAGTATGCACACAATAAGTGCATAACTGAGGGGATCAAGGAGTAAATGTGTTTGCCTATAGGACACTATCAGAGTCCACCAGCACAGACTTATGGCAAAAAATTGGAAGGCTCTTTTCCGTTGGATTCTGGGAATCTGTGTTCTCTAGTGTGCCAGGGAGAGTTGGAATCAAAGCACATAATGTAATATTTTTATTCAGTGCCCCATTTTTTGCCAAATAAAGTAGCACTGTCAAATAATAAATCTTGTATTCACTTGGATATGTGTGTTTATTGTTGGAGCTCTAAAATATGCTTGAAATAACGCATCGAAATAAATGAGGTGATGAATTTTGAAGTAATAACAGTTTATGATGGGTAGCTCCAAATTTTTAAAAAACAGAAAAAAAGAAATAATTTATTTTTTACTTTTTTTTAAAGGGTATCTTGGCTATACTAGTGGATTCTCCTTGAGCTGCATGGTTTTTTTCCTAATAGTGGTAAGTGCTGATTGAAATGGCTGGTTTGGTTTTGTGATAGTACTATTCATTATTTGGCTTTACTAAAGTCTATATTGTTTCTACTATACTTCTTAATACCAGGTTATTTACAAGAAATTTCAAATTCCCTGCATTGTTCCAGAGCTAAACTCAACAATAAGCGCTAATTCAACAAATGCTGACATGTGCACGCCAAAATATGTTACCTTCAATTCAAAGGTAAGTTTCCTGATCCTTTGCAGATAAAAAGATTGGGATTTTTAAAGGAGCACTTTTATTAAGAGCATTCTATTTCTTACACTTGTAATTGCACTACATGGTACCATTGCTTCCAGATTACACAATCCATGCAGAGATCCTTGAGAAATATACAAATATTATATTTTACACTCTCTCTTACCCTTAAGCATTCTCTGTCAAAATCCCATTCTGGATAATGGTCTCAGCTCTTCCTGTGTAGAGGACTGGTTGATGCTTTAAAAACAGATTAATAACATCCTTAGCCCCCTGTTTCTTATATGGTGATGACAGAAGGGAATAATGCAGACTTCCTCAGCTTGCACAGCTGAAATATAGATGCCACCATAAACTGGGACTTAGAAAACCCTCCTACTGTTAAATATTGTTGATACTATGGGAAGCAGAGGATTATGGAGTCAGTCAGGGTTGGATTTGAATCCTCAGGCAAGTAACCCAATCCCTTGAGTAAAAACAAGGGTTCTGTTCTGTATCTTACAAGGTTTTGTTAGAATGTGCCTGGTATAGTGCATCAGCAGAGTTAGGGCATAAGATAAGTTAGTTTTCCTTCCTTCCCCCCTCCTCTTTTTGCATAGGAAATTAGATTGAGTTTGAGAGTTTCAAACAGCCTTATCTAAGAAAACTAAATAGATCACAATCTCTCTCTTTCTCTCTGATTGTAAGAATACAGCCAAAGTAGTGCAATGTGAAACAGATTTTCTTTTCAGAGGGCATCTTTTAAGTCTGATTCAATGCACCTGACATAGAGCAATGAGCAGTTAACTAGAGGTGGGAGTGCTGGGCCAGTCGCCTGACCTGTTGCAGGGAGCCAGGAGAACAGCCACGGTCTGCCTACTGCTCGGGATTGCTGTGGAGATCCAATGAGCTATCCTAGGAAGAGTGCCATGTAACTGGCTCATGCTGTATAAACAGGGGATGTTGTATACCTGAAGTACATAAAATACGCTGTAGGTGAGCCAAATCCAAAATCCCTCTGTGACGAGTGGCTAATGGCTCGAGCTAGATAAGCTCTCTTAGAAAAGCTGCTTCTATTTTAGAGATCAAAACCCTCCTAATAACTGAATAATCCAGGGATTCTCAAGAGCTGTCAGATAAAAAGACAGCTTGGAAATACTGGAGCTGTGTCATTTTTATGGTAAAAGTGTTTTTTTTTCTAATGTCTGTTCTTTTCTCTCAAATAGACTGTGTATGCTTTACCAACCATTGCATTTGCATTTGTCTGCCACCCATCAGTCCTGCCAATTTACAGTGAGCTTAAAGAGTAAGAAATTTGTTTATCTTAATCATTTTACATCCCCTCATTAATAGGCAAATATAGAATTAAAATAAACAGACTTGTCTAATGAACCTCGGCGGATTCATCACCCAGCTTCAACATTTACTCACATTCTGCCATTCTTGAACAAGTATTGTATTTTAAGAAAAAAGAAAGCATGAAAAATCAGAAACTTCAATATTTTGTGCGGCCATAAATACAGAAAGGAGTCAACCATGTGGGCTTTTTCAGTAATTTGGTTTTTCAAATAGTGTATCACCGAGGAGAGTTTAAGTATTTGTGTTGCTTTCCATTACGTATGTGTATTTTGCAAGTGGGTGATAATCTTCAGATTTATCTATAAACTGCAAATACATTGTCTCTGATTTGCCTGTTGGTTTGGGTGAAAAGGCTAGTAAATCAGACAATAAGAAATCAGTGTTAAGACCACAAACTAGGAAAAAAGAATATTGCTGTTCAATTTTAACTATTAAGAAAATTCTATGGATTTATTGATTTATTTTTGATTGCTTGTTTTGAGAAAATTAAGCCCTCCTTATAAACTTCATGTGTTCTCTTTTTAGCCTACAGTTATCAAACATATACAAAAATAGTCACCATGGTGTAATCTTAAAAACTTAAAACAGACAATATTCGTATTTATTTCCATTTTGAAACAAAGTTGATGTCATTTAGCATTGAATTCACTCATTTTTTTCATATTTAATTGATACATGGCTAAATTTTAACCATCTACCTCTATGTATATATACATCACTCCTAGTTTGTGATCCTCTAAAATTTAAATATATCTTTGACATCTTTTAATAGGTCAGCTTTTAGTTTTAGTTTTTATTTATTTTATTTTATTTTATTTTTTGAGACGGAGTTTCGCTCTTGTTACCCAGGCTGGAGGGCAATGGCGCGATCTCGGCTCACCG